AGCAGTGGCTCCCTGCCTGCAGTAAATAACCCTTGCTCTTGGGAAAGGGAAAAAGTAAATGCAATGAAAAATTAGAGAGGAAAGCAAAAGAAATGCTTTAATAGAGGACAGCTCTTGGTCTGTGTCTGGCATCATTGAGCCATTTTAATTCTAAACAAATTTGTGTATGCCAGAAGTTCCTTGGTCACACAGGAGGGACCTCTGAGCTCCCTGTGACGATCCTGCACAAGGTGCGGAGGAAGAGAGAGAAGGAATGGAGAGAAAGAAACTATTATAGGTCCTCTAGCCCTTGTCTGTCTTCCAGGGCACTCCAGGACATTTCATAGAAAACTTCTAACAAAAAGTGTTATTCCTCAGTGGGTGCCTTTGGCAACATCTGCATTGCTGGTTGAACCACTGGAGACTGCATCCAAATCGCTTGGGGCTGGCTCCCCCCAGGGCAGACTGCCTCCTGCTCAGTCCCAGATTTTTTATGGCCCCTCTGGAGCCTCCCCAGTCCCAGGACATCAATGGAACAGTCTGTGCAGTTTTTGTTTCTGAAATGAGGTGAAGGCATGCAGGGGCCTGCCACAGCAGTACAGTCTCAAACTGAGGGGATGTGCTGTGTGCCTGGGGCTGACGGGAGAGCATAGGGGCAGCAAGGGGTTTGACTTGGAAGGTGGGAGGGGACATGACACATACAGGGCAGAGGGAGTCAAACTGGGAGTGTTTTCTTGCCTAGAGCCTCTTGGGAGGGGTCTTTGACATGATTTTATCCTTGGAAACACAGCCAAGATTTGGGTTTGGTTGGCTCTAGTCGGCTTAGTTTGGTAGAGGCTGAAAGGGCCCTAATACTTATGGCAGTGGGTGGTCAAGGGCCCAGGAGTGAAATTGGGAGCCCGGGTATTTGACAGAATGGGTAGTTGTACACCTTGCATTATCCACCACTTACAGGTTGGGAATGCGTATGTTTATATAAAATACTTATCTTCTAGTGTTTTGAGAGGGTGTACTTCTTCCATATTGGAGGGTTATGATCCATTGCGTTTGTTAATGTTTGATGTAGATTAATTTACATCAAAGTATGTTTTTATGTCCTGTAAACAAGGAAAACAATGATTGGTTTGTGAACTGAGAGGAGAGGAAAAGGCAGATTTCCACGTGAGTGGGACAGCCCATCCCTGTTGCATGAGTTGCGGTTGAGAGTCGTAACAAAATAGGAAGCAGCGTGCATGGCTTTTTCCTTCACTCATTATTTACAAGCAAATGAAATTGCTGTGGCAGAGGGGAGAAAAATACGGTGTCCTGAAACTTGGCAGGGCCAGAATTGCAGCTGTCTTAACTGTTGTCCCCCCCTTTCCCCCGTGGTAGCGCGATCATGGGGAAATCATATCTGCCTTTGTCTGCTTTGCATACAGGTAGTGCTTCCAACATTTATTTTGGAGAAAAGATCCCTGCTGGAGATGTATGCAAATTTCATGGCCCATCCAGACCTGTTTTTGTCAATTGCAGCTGGAGCCACTCCCGAGGAAAGAATTATCTGCTTTGTGGAGTATTATCTAACAGCTTTTCACGAAGGCCGAAAGGGAGCGGTTGCCAAGAAGCCCTATAACCCTATAATTGGTGAAACGTTTCATTGCTCCTGGGATGTGCCTAAAGATAAAGTGAAAGTGTTCAGAACTAATGGTGCCTCCGCCGTTTCTAAGGACCCAGCCAAGGAGTTTGGCCAGGACCAGTCCTCCGCGTGCTACAAGCTGAGGTTTGTAGCTGAACAAGTGTCCCATCATCCGCCGGTGTCTTGCTTTTACTGTGAGTGCAAAGAGAAGAAAATGTGTGTGAACGCTCACGTATGGACCAAAAGCAAGTTTATGGGCATGTCTGTAGGTGTTTCTATGGTAGGTGAAGGTAAGAAATGTGCTTTTATATTGTTTCTTTTGAGCTGATGATGTGGGTGTCAACACAGCAGAAATGAAATCCAGATATTTTCCTGCTTGCTCTGCCTCTGACCTTTCATTTGACTTTGTGGCTATTTGCTTTTGTCAAGTTTGGAATGAAAACTGTCGAGTTCATGTAACTTTTTTCTGTCCAGACAGAATGGAAGACAAACATTACATGTATAAATGTGTGCTTATATTTGTGTGAGACTGTTAATTGCATCTGAAGTACAGTCATTTGTTAAGTTGTTGTAGCAAATGGCTACTCGCAGCATATTCTATAAGAACATTTTTATTTGTCTTCTAAGGTAATAAGTGATTCAGTACAGGACAGTTTCAGTTTCACAACTGAAGCAAAGCAATAGGAAAAAAATGCATTTTTACTTAAGCCTAACATTTTTTTTCATAGTTTCTGCAAAGAATCATGGTTTCTGTAGTGCTTACAAAGTTTATGTATTATCTCAAGCTTTACAGCAAGTCAAGAAGTTGAGGTATAAGGTGTAATCTGCTGTATCATACATACATGGTCTGCTTTGACAAGTCATTGCTCAACATGAGTTCAGAAATACAGGGAATAGCAACAAACTCTTAATGGATGATCTGAACTGCTAAACACACCTGTACCAGCAGTGATTGCTGATGCATTGATTTAATGTTTCTAAGCAATTCAGTCAGTCCCTTTTGCCATTTGAGGGTAATTTCCTGTGTATGATTTTTGGTGTTTTGTCTTAATTAGTTTTTAGACTGTAGTCTCAGAAGTACCAGGACAGCTTACAGTAAATGCTTCTTTTTGTCATCATTATGTTAACTACTATGATATTAAAGGTAGTAAAGAAGTAGAGCGGGAAATTGCAGTGAGTTGGTTTTACTTATTAATAACAAGCAAACAATTATGGTGAAAAGATACAGATATGTTCTGCTGTTTCTGGTAGCTGGAACTAAAGAACAAAATAAAACACTAGAAATGGTGACAGTAGCTGCTTTCCTGATGAAAACATATTCCCTTTTTTGGTAGAAGAGTCATGAAACTTCCTTACTGCTGCAGTTGATGTTATTGTGATAGTTAAAGTCTATAACAGCACTGCTGTTTCTACTCTCTACAATTTAGGTATTTTGCTTTTAATACGGAGTTAAGGAAGTTGCGAAGGGGGTGTCAGGAGGGAAATTGGTCCTTCTGTCTGTCTCCTGACTGTGCTCCTGGCAGCCTGAATCACTGGTTTCGCTTGCTGGATTTTTCTGGTACATATTAGTTTCTAGCACTCTTTTTCTCGGTGAAGGGAGCTATTTAATGGAAATAAAATGAAACGCAAAGTCACTTATGATTATGTAGGAGTAGGGAAATTTCTTTTTCTTGCTGCTAGCGCACACAGTTCCCTGGGATTGGGGGTTTCTACTGTGGGGATTATTTAAGACTTCAAAGTCCTGATGTGTCCCAGTTTTGAGAGAGAAAGGGTCCAGGAATTAACCACTTCCCTACCCTGAAGATTGTGTAATGTGTTTTTGTGAGAATAAGTTCTCCCCTACCCCCTTTTTTATTTCAGTCGTCCCAGAGATATCCCAGGGGTGGAGGCAGGCTTCGGGGAACATCTGCAGTGGTGAACTCTTACTGCAAGGTTTGCTGCTGTCTTTGTGATGGACATTTTGGGAAGAAGTTTGGCTTATACCGATTTATAGTTGTCATTTGTCTTTTTTGTTGATGCAAGCAGTGCAGCAGCGTGCATCTTCATGGTGACAGCGTTTCTGGGAAGTGATGGAGAAAATCCAGTGCAGCCCAAGCATTTCTGTTGCATCCTGAGACTGGCAATAGGCAGCAAGGAGTTGTACCACTGAAAACAGCCCAAACCTGACAGCTTTGGTTTAAAATGTTTGCCTTGTAGTGTGGTTTCTTCATGCAAAACTATAATTTCTTCAGATTTTTTAAAATTTGTTTTAGTCCCAGGAAAGTTTTCCTAATTAGGTTGGTGTGTAGATTTGTCAAGCAAAAATTAGCATCTGCTGCAGATGTTTCTTTCCCGTGTGCTGCATGAGTATAAATTCTGGATTAGGTTGAAGTCAGTGAGAGTACTGGGGAATAGCTTGGTGAGCCAAGGAAAAGTAGAATTTTCTTTGTATTTAAGGACATTTTATGCACTGCAGCATTTCAAATGGGGTGAGTTAGAGCAGCAAAGATTAGGGTGTGGAAAGCCATGCTATTCCATCAGAAGATATATGGAGGCAGTTAAGATAGGTAGACACTAAAGTTAGCTGCTAGGAGAAGCTTTCTTACAAGGTTGGCTGATAAGGTTGTAGAATCTTGTTTTAGACTGTTTTAACCAGATTCAGTGAGTTTCTTGGCAATGACTGAGTATGGCTGATCCTGCTTTTGGTAAGAGGCAAAGAGGCAAAGTTCATCTACAATTCTAATGAATAATAGAAATCCTGGGGGTTTTGTTTGGTGGTGGTTGTTTTTTTTCCCCCACTGTGAGCATTCAGCCCAGTTTTTGGCTGTTGCTGGGGTTTACTTATGTACCTGTGAGGGTGCCTTTGACTTTTGGCTAGATCAGTCAGGATTTTAGGTTCTGCATGATCCTACTGGAAGGGCAGTTTCCTTGATGCCTCTACTATACCTGTGTCCATTCTGAGACTTCATTTAAATAATTCTGATGTTGTTCTGATAGTTTCATTACCCTGTGCAGTCATGCAGTACTATCTGGCATATGTTAAAAAGAAATTCCTTCCCAACAAAGCATTAGAGAGCTGTAAGTCATGTTTTGGATAATTCAGTGGTAGGGAGTGACCATCTTGCCGCAGTGGAGATATTGAACAGAACAGTTGTGCTTGACCTGTAACTTTGTTGTGACCTTAGTGTTGCATACAAACAACTGTGATGTGTTTTGAAACTTTGCTCCCTACTGAATAGTGTCCTGTGTGGCCTTCAAACAGTTCAGTGGAGCTTTTTCTACTGCAGTTGGCTCTTTACAGAAGTAAAGTTGTACTGAATTTTTGGACCTATGTTATATTAAGAAATAGGCTGGTAATGCTTCCGTGGTGCTTCTGAGGCGTTTTTTTTTTTTAACTCATCACAGTGTCCTCAGCTGTATAGAGCGTGTTGCTTTTTATGCCCTGTTGTTAAAGCAGCAGTGGTTATGCTGCAGTCAGATGTCATGGAAGTACAAAGGTTTCAGTAAGAATTTAAACAGGAGATTTGAAGGCAGTGTGGTCCTGACATAGAAGGGGTACAGCTCTAGCCGAATTGTACCATTTTTAGTGTAGGTTGCACCTCGAAGTGACTAAGGTTTAGGGTTCTTTTAATTCTGTCTGTGACTTTTGTTTGTTGATTCAAAGGATCCATCGCGGAGATGCAGAACGAAGGGGAAAGTGCTGCTGGAAATGTGTGTGAGGAGCTGGTTTATATGCTAGCCCTGCGTCTGTGGTTATGAGGGGTCTACCACTGGCTTGCTGATGACTGGTTCAACTTTTTCTTTGCTGTATAACAAAACCCCATTCTTCAGAGTCATCAGCGTTGAGTTTCCTCTTGAGAAAGCTGCCCTGAATAGAAGAGAGGGTGTTTTGCATCAAAGAATTCGCATTGCATGCACAGTCTCTAATTCTGGTTAATGTTAATTATGTACTCATGAGAGACTGAGGGAGAGGAGGAGGGTGTAATGAATAGAATCGTATTGAGATTTAAATTAGCAAGGGATGGGAGAGTCAGTGTAAATATTTAATGTTTTTTACGTGATCCAAAGAATCCTCAGTCAGATACGGGCTGTAGGATAAGGATGCTTTAGCGGAGAAGGCCGTGGTTCGCACACCTCAGCCTGGGCTGTGCGTGCTCCTTTGCTGCTCTTGGGTGTTGTTCCAAAGTTGCAAAACCCATCAGAAAGCGTCACCTTTGATTCATGGGTTGATTTTGCTGAGACCATGAAGTACATTTAAGTGGATTGCTCTGCGTTATCAAGTGGCTGGTTATGTCTTGTGTTTTTGCTCCTGCTGTTTTAAATACTGGTGAGGTAGAGGCTTCCAAAAATTATTTTCTGAGTTGAAATCAACCTTGGAAAGATTTGATCGGTAGGGAAAAGGGTCAGTGCTCTCTCCAGGGTAAATGTAAATGAAAGTAATGAATGTTTTTATCTCCCTTTTTTTTCCTGTTCAAATATATGTATGTGTTTATAGATGTACAGGTCTATAATTTTTATTCCTAAAGCATTAGCAGCTTTTTAATTTACCAGTCCCAAAGACTGACTGCTCCATGCAACTGGAGCTACCAAAATATTTCCCTAGCACTAATTTTCGCATTAATATTTCTTCGCCCTGTGGTTTCAGAGCAGTTTCTGTATGGCATGGGCACTCATCACTTAATTTAGCAAATGGCTCCAGTCTGGAAAATGAGCAGTGCAGCTCGCTGATGTGTTTATGAGACAGATCCCAGCTCTGGCATCCCACATTTTCCTGTGTGAAACCTGGTGATGCCCTACACCCGTGTGGGGTACGTCCGATATGTAACTTACTTCTGTTTGTACCATGTTACATGCAATGCAGACAGCAAAGAGCTGCTAAATTAGGAAACTGCCCCGGGCTGCTGGTGTCCCATGTACCATTTGTAGTTCAGATTGGTCTCCATACAATCAGTGGGAAGCATTAAATCTCACATGCCTCTTCTGCAGCGTATTGATGTGGGGCCTCCTCTGGGTGTTGCGTTAATACGCGCTACTGGAAGATCAATTCCCAAAGCCGCAGCATCGGTGAGGGGCACCTCATGGGCAAACAGGGAAAATGAGATGCTGCGAGCATCGCTTCCTTCATGTGGGACGAGGAGTCGTGGAAAGGAGCATGGCTGTGAGTGCGTTGCCTTCGTCAAAAGCAGGAGTAAATGGTGTTGAGGGCATTTCAAGGGGGAATGTCAAAATTCTGCACTTGTTTATAAAATAATTCACCCTTCTCTATGGGATTTTTCCTAATAAACTAAATTACTAAATCCACTGTTCCTCCCAGAGTACTTATATGGTGCATTCTTCCATGCATAATAGCTGTCTATAAATACTTAAGATTTTTTTTAAAAGGAATTTGCAGTTTCTGAAATAATTCTTTCATGTGAGAGGAGGAAACGTCACCGAAAATGGGAGAATCTTCTGCAACTTTTCATGTGTGTTTACTTAGCCATTTTAAAATTAAAAATGAATAATCCCTTACAGTGGAGAAAAGCGAGGGAAGAACAATAGCCTGTGTATTTTCCAGCAGATCACTCACGGTGTAATTATGCTGTATTAAGAGTACACAGTGCTTTTAAAAATAACTGTTAGATTTTAGTGTTTCTGCCTTTAATTTCTCAAGATTTAAAAGCTGTGGTAGCAGTTGAATGTTGGCGCTCGGTGTCATTTTGGCTTCCTCTTCCCAAAAAGAGCACGGGTCTCAGTTCAGACATGATGGTGCAGCTACAGCCTTCGTGGTGCTTCAGTTAAAGGAGGTTTTGCGTGTGGACTCTGCAAACGACGGGATGCAAGACTACCAGTCACATTAATGCTAAAAGTAGCATCAAGTAGTGGATGTGGATATTTCGCATCTTCCCTTTATTCTTTTTCAAAATGTGATTATTGAGCTGGAGTCGTATTTCAAGTGAGATAGCACTTCATTAAAAATGTATTTATTCAGCTGTTTAAGGAATTAAAAAAATATGCTACCAGGTGCTAAAAATACTGCCAAGAGAGCTGGGTTCGGTTTTTAATATCTAACCTGCTGTAGTGGTTAAGTATTTACTTTGAAGGTCACTGCTGTGATTTGCTCTTCACTTTCCAAGTGTGGTTGGCAGCGTTCGTTTGAGCTCTGCATCCCTCCCACTTGAGCGTGGAGAAAAAAGCTGTCGATCCCGTCAGAGACACAGGCAAACCCATACTGACCCTGAAGGAAGCGGTGTTTATCGTGGCAGTTTCCTCTCACGTGGGGACGTGCAGTGATGGTCACAGGAGGACAGCCGAGTCTGGGGAAGCAGGGGAGACTCATGTGGTGGTGTGGTTCACAAATACAGTGAGGTTCTCCCTCAGTGGTGAGCACCACACCTGCCCACCCTACGTCTATTAGACCTTGTGTCTTTAAAAAATCCAACAAAACCAAACAAAAACCCCTACAAAACCTCCACAACAACAAAACCCTCCAGACTGTCATGTTAGGAGCTGATGCTTTCAGGCAGATTGTGCTTTTTGACCATGTGAGGATTGTGTCTGTGCTCAGACCATTACACTGGGGAAACGTGACCTCGTGATTACCACCACAGACCATTTCCTGCTGCTGGTTGCTGCTACGTGGCTGTTGCCTGTGATGAAGAAGTGGGGGGAGGAGGAGGAGGAGGAGAAAGGAAAGCTGACAGTCTTGGGTTTAAAGCCTGTTGTAGCTCTCTGTGTGGAAAATGCTGAACTGCAGACTGTCAGGTTTCCTTTCTGTTTTTGTTTCTAACAGTACCCATTAGCTTTCTTTGATCCTTTTTTGGATATCATCATCTAGTTAAAAGGCTTCTTGGTTGTTCTTTATTAATTTAATGTTGTTGTAGCATCCATTTAATCAGTTTGATAAACGGAGTAATCTTTTTGAGTAAAATAGTGAAAAATAGTAGAAACAGTGTGGCCTGCAGGACTGGGGAAGGGATTGTCCCCCTGTACTTGGCACTGGTGAGGCCACGCCTCGAATACTGTGTTCAGTTTTGGGCCTCTCACTACAAGAAGGACATTGAGGTGCCGGAGCATGTCCAGAGAAGGGCAGCGAAGCTGGTGAAGGGTCTGGAGAACAAGAATTATGGGGAGCAGCTGGGGGAGCTGGGGTTGTTTAGCCTGGAGAAGAGGAGGCAGAGGGGAGACCTTATCACTCTCTACAACTGCCTGAAAGGAGGTTGTAGAGAGGTGGGGTCTCTTCTCCCAAGGAACAGGCGACAGAATGAGAGGAAATGGCCTCAGGAAAAACGTCTTCACTGAAAGGGTTGTCAAGCATTGGAACAGGCTGCCCAGGGAAGTGGTGGAGTCACCATCCCTGGAGGTGTTTAAAAGGGGGATAGATGTGGTGCTTAAGGACATGGTTTAGTAGTGGAGATGGCAGTGTTAGGTTAATGGTTGGACTCAATGATCTGAAAGATCTTTTCAAAACCAAAATGATTTTATGATTCTAATTTGTGTCCAGGAGCGTTGGGTGGTTCAGCCTTCCTGCAGAGTTCAGCCTGGTTTTGCCTGCGGGTGTGGAGCCAAGGAAGCAGGAGGGAAATTGTGTGTGTGTGTGTGTGTGTGCGCGCGCGCTCCAGCTGTGTCCTGCCTGCTCCCTGCGGGTGACGCGAGGAACTTGTGACTTGCTGAGGCAAATGATTAAAGGTCCTTTCAAGTAATTGCTCTTCTGAGTTTGTGCTTTTGCACTCTCCAGCTCGTTTGTGTCAGACTTGGCAGAGTAGTACCGCTGGCTGTGTCATTGGTGGCAGGGTGAGGCTGTAAAGTCCTGAGAACAACTGCGTGAAACTGTTCTGGTTTGCAAAAGATGTTTTCCAAGAGGGAACAGTTTGGGAAGGCAGAAGTGACAACTTGTGGGACTTCCTGTGCCTATTTGCTCTATTGATTTGAGCCAGTATTTAATACGGTGATTCTGTTAGAGCTCTGTGCTCTTACATTCTGAATGTTATTTAGGTTTGTGTTTTCATACAGCATTAAGGGCATATTTTTATGTTGACAGTGGTAGTGCCTTGTTCCTGTTTAGTCCTTTCTCGTCATTACAGGTCAGATCACTTTGCAAAATGAGTGTCGTTATTCCATTAAACAGATAGACAAACCTTACCGCTGCCAATGGGTTCTTCCCCTGTCTGCCCCCAGGTGAAGGCACCTTGGCTCAAGCTCATCTTGTTGCTAAACAGATGCTATTACCATGTCAAGACAATTTCCTTGATTTTATTTTTCAAAATATTTAAATATTTTGAATGTATTTCAATATTTTAAATATTTTTTTTGTCAAATATTTCTGGGTTCTGAGTGCATTTTGTGATGGGTCATTTTCACACAAGGAGGAAACTTGAGGAAATTTCTTGATGACTTTCTTAAGCACATTTCCTAGGGAAACAGACCTGGGGAAAGCCTTTTGCTCCCATCAACAAATGCATCAGTAAGAAATTAAACGTAGAGGACCTGGTTGTATCTGATTGAATGGAAAACCAAAGAGTCCTTTGGCCATGCCCATATTTTTTTATGGTTAGAGATTATAATATGACACTGAGTGAGCATCTGAATATTCAGTATGGCTTTTTTTTGCAAGCAGATTATATGTTTTTCCAGCTTCAGCAGTTCATTGCTTGTCAGTAACACAAAATAAGTAATCCAGTCAGATTTTCTGATAAGCTGTTTGGCACCATGAAGGACCTCAGGGAACATTCAAATTGTGGGCTTTTGAAAATGCTTATTTGAAGACATTTGTTCCAGAGGGCAGACTCTTTCCTAGCAGACAGTACCCTCCTTCAAGGCAAGGTGCACGTTGTGCTCTCTGTAGAAGTAAATTTTGGTGACAATAACTGGCTGTCAGGTCTTATCAGGAAACATACATCATTTCTCTGATAAAATGTGTAATTTCATCACTTTAAACCTTCTCTCTACGTAGGTGTTCTTTACTTGTTGGAGCACGAAGAGGAGTACGTGTTCACCCTGCCTAGTGCCTATGCTCGCTCCATACTCACCGTCCCGTGGGTGGAGCTTGGCGGGAAAGTCACCATCAGCTGTGCCAGGACGGGCTACTCTGCCACGGTCACCTTCCACACCAAGCCCTTCTACGGAGGGAAGGTCCACAGGTACGGGCATTGCTGTCTTAGTCTTGTTTACCTACTACTGGATTTCGGTAGAAAGACTCTTGGGCATCTCTTTGGTTCTTCTGTTGGAGTATTTTATGGCCAAATATCTGAGTTTTTTTTTCATATTAGCGTCGGAGATGACTTACAGCTTTATAGCACAGTTTACTGTAGTTATATGCTTTATATTGTTTAACTGAACTGGATATATTTCTCTCATTAAACTAAAGTGAATGTGTTCTTCCAGGCTTTGTCGCTTGTAAAAATTGCTGTAAGTGCAGGATCAGAAAAATGTACATAGAAAAGGCGATATTTCTGCTACACCAGCAGCAGTTTCTGTGTAGGTCTTGTAGATGAACGGGTGTTCCAGGTGGAGCGCCTGTATTAGTTTAATAATTTAATAACTTCATTGAGTTTACAGGTGACTTGACATGGCTTGCTAAAGTGGATGTGTAGATATTCGTAGACACACAGACCCAACTTCTCCCTGCATTTTGGTTTTCCAGTCCTACCTGTCTACCAGTCTGCCTGTTTTGCTCACACTCGGAGCAGCTCTTGGACCACTGAGGCAGCTTTAATCATTGCCTCTCAGCAGCTGAGAAGTAAATTTGCAGGGTTAAAGAAGAAAACAGAGGTACCTGAAGTCTTTGCATAGGTATCTGACGGCATTAGGTTCAGGTGGGAAAAGTGAACTTCAAAATCTCGTACTGACAATTTAGCATGAATGTCAGGGGTTGTTTTTGAGGCTGATGAGGTGAACAGTTGTGGGTTAGAGCTCAGTATCAGAGTTTTAAATGGAGTTACTGCTGTGCTTTAGGAGAATAGGATCCAAAAGCTATTGCTGTGTTAGCAGAGATGTCTTCAATTGAGTCTTTCTGGATGCCGTTACTTTGCTTGAAAAATTATTTTGTAGATATAGAAAGCTGCTTGCAGTGCTTTCATATTCTGACAATAAATGGTACCAGTTATTTCTGTGGTCTTTTTCCACCTCTTGAATTAGGGTTACAGCCGAAGTGAAACACAACCCCACTAACACCATTGTGTGCAAGGCACAGGGAGAGTGGAACGGGACGCTGGAATTTACCTACAGCAACGGAGAAACCAAAGTGATCGACACGAACAAACTGCCCGTTATCAGGAAAAAGATCAGGCCGATCGCGAAACAGGGGCCCCTGGAATCAAGGTACGGACAGAGGCGTTGCAGGGCTCTGCCGCTGAACAGGGGAGCAAACTGCAGTTACAAATGGTGTGGTTCCAAAAAGCTTCGCTTCCTCCAGCACAATTATCTGCGCACAAAGAGCTGAAGCAGGCATTAGTTCTTGGGTACATAAATTACATTATGGTGATGCGTGCATCAATTTTGTAGAGAGGGACAATGCTCGTATGCGCTTTAATGAGCATTTGGAGAATGGTAACGCAGTGCTTTCACCTGCCTTCTCGAGTGGTTACAACATGGCGGTCAAATCAGTCAGTTTGTTGCAAGCAATGTTGCATTGTACAATTTACACCGGAATTGCATCTTTTACATGTTTTATAATACATACCTATAAAAATATGTAAAATGTGATGCAGCGTGAGATGTAAATATACACGCGTGTGGTTTTAAGGCTCTCAACACCCACACCACCTGCCTAACTCTGCCTAGGTACCTTAGAAAAAAACTTGTTCTGTTGTTCACTGTCAATAACTGTTGATGTTTATCTTCAGAATAATCAATATACTTACTGAATTTAGGAAGATTTTATTGGAGGATTTAAAAGCACAAGTTAGGCTTCATTTTATTATCTGTAAATGTGTTTCCTTTATTGTACAACGGTGTGTCTTGAGTCATCATGCAGGGTTAGACATAATTTTCCTACTTTCGAGGCCTGCTCACAAATTCATTTTTCCAGGTAGTTCAGGAACAGAAAGGTTGGAGTAAATACAGAAACCAGTAGCTCCGTAGTGTATTTGTTGTATTTTTTGGCTACTACTAAGAAATTACAACATCTGGTCTACAAATGTGATCAACGTCCGTGGAGAGCGATGGTTCACAAGCTATGATGTGACTGGCAGAGTGGCAGGGAGAGCGTGGCATGAGCCTGCCCCTGGCGTGCTAACTGTTCTCACTGTCGCTTGTGCTCCTCTTCTCACGCAGGCACCTCTGGCAGCACGTCACCAACTCCCTGAAGGAAGGGAACATCGATGCTGCCACAGAGCACAAACATCGCCTTGAAGAGAGGCAGCGGGCAGAGGAGAGGCAACGGGTGGCTCTTACAACGCCATGGAAACCAAAATACTTTGCCAAAGAGGTACTTCCATTGCCTTATTTTAAAGACCCTATAGCAGGTTTCTGCATGCAGAGGGATGCTAGTATGGATGAATTTGTGTGTGCTTTTTACCATGGGCTAGTGTTACTATGTACCACTGATAGTTTTAAATGCTATTTTTGCCGGAGTCTGGCTCTTGAAGAGGAGCAGTGGATTGTTCTATGTCCGTATTGGAAACTTGTTGACTTTCCTACAGTTAAATTTATTTAAACCTGAATTTTTGGTATCTATTGTTAGTCACTTAAAGCTATGTTTTTTACCTTAAAATCCACATTAATTTGCAAATACTGCATGCTCACATCCCCTCCTAATCTTGATTAGTACAGTGAACGTGACCTAGGGATATCTGTCCAAAGTAAGGAAGGATGGACATCTTAAACACAGTCTTGGGTTGCACCTGCTTGAAATGAAACTGATTTCCCTAAGTTTGTCTCTGCCCTTTCTTAGAGGAAAGCGGGAAGGGAAATGAGACTTGCTGAGGGAATTATTCCGTGCCTGTGTTGCTAGGTTAGCCAGTGTGTGCAGCTGTTTAAACCAGCACTTCATCTGCTGCATCTTCCCATTGCTTCTCTTCCCCTTTGTGATTTTTTTTCCCTCCTGCCCAGTTAACCTGTAAATTCATTAAGCACTGCATTTTCAGATCACAGCAACGGTTTCTTGTGTCAGTTGGTGTTATTTTGGCTTTTATGTGGACATGCACAGATCCAGTATGTATAAATCTTGTTTGTAAGCTCTCCCTAATTTTCTTGCAGGGCGACGGTTGGCTGTACGTGAATCCCCTCTGGAAGAGCCATTGATGGGATAGAGCAATTGCCTCATAACTTAACCTTAAAGGCATTAAAATGATGCAGTAACATAACTCCAAGATGTCGTTGTGTAGGTCCTGTTATCAGAAATACAAACACGAAGCTGTATACTGTGAATGATGCATCTCAAAATAACCACAAGCTCAAGTTTATTCAGGAGCCATTTAGTGTGTATGGGTACACAAACACACATGCACACGTCCGTACGTACACACAGATCGACACGCAGTGTGTATGTGTTTGTGTGGGTGTTACTTACACTACATGTAAACGAGCATAAACACTAACAGTGATTTCAAGACCTTTTCCACTCAGTGTTAGGGCACAGAGCTCCAGCTGGACTCAGCTGGGGTTCCCCGAGTTGCGTGCTTGCAGGATCAGGCCCTACGCTAGTATTTAAGAAAATACTTTTTTATTAGTACTGGTTAAGGTTTTTCTATTTTTCACTTTTGCCAAAAATGTTTTGCACTTAAAACGTGACATGTCACTTAATGGCAGTCGTTCTGTCTAAACAGTCGTGAGGTAACTCACTCTGACATACGAATGCTACACTGACAGCGCGCTCACTTTCGGGGTGCTGATTTCGGAGCATGTTTCCTGTCCCTTACGAGTGTGCGTTTTCCGCCATCTTACCAGAAGCAGCAATACCTTCTCCAGAGCGTTGTTCGCACTAACCCGTTGTGTCTTCATTTTCTTGTTTGTTCCTACTTCAGCAGTTTAACAGATCCGTGGCCACCAGTGAGGCAGCTGCTCCCCTAATTTTGCTGTTGCTGGGTAAAGTTCCCTGGCTGCTGTCACGCCAGTGCTTTTGGGTTATGTGTCCCACTAATTCACCTCTGGCAGCTGTGGCTGTGGTGCTCCAGCGTGCCATTGCCTCTGCATTTTGATTTCTTTTCCATCTGACCCAGTTGATTGCTTCTCAATGAAATGTTTGGAAGAATGGAGATGATATAACTGGCCATCTCAGATGAATGATTTTTTGGATGTAAAAGTAACTATTTAGTAAATTATTACACCGAGACAAACCTTTATTAATAAAACAAATGAAATGGGATATCATTTGTTTTGTAGGGAAACAATCCTGTAGCTTGATGCTGCTGTGTAAGGGTAACCACTGTGGCACTGAAAAAGTGGATTCTCAAAGTGTGTTACAGCTTTGTTAAGTTCACATTTGTTGAAAGTGAAGATGTTTTTCAGAGAAGCGGCAACAAAAGGCAAATGTAAAATGCGCTGACTTCTTTTTACAGTGCCCGTCAAGAAACCACTACATTTCTAACATACAGTAGCATGGATGCCTACCTTGCTGTAGTACTGATTAATTTTGTGCCTTTTGTCTGCTTTCTTAATACAATAGCTTACGCTTTATAGCTAGGACACAAATATATTTAGGTCAAAGCACTGCTTATAGTCGTTCTCGTGTGTCCTGCATATTCTGATTATTTTTTTGGTAGAAGCTTAAAATCTCTTGAGCAATTCAAAAGGCTAAATGGGGGTGTGTGCACAAGGAAACACGCTGTTAGCTGTTCATCTGGACATAATGTTTAATAGTTAATTTACATTTGAACTTCAGATCCTTATTTAATGAAGGTGTGGCTCCTTTTCCTCCCAAATGTTATTTTGTCTGCTTGTATGTCCTTTTTTCTTTTTTTTTGCACATTAGAAAGATTCATGCTATAAATGATTTAGATCCTATTTGTAAAAAAAAATGTGGACTATATGAGCTTGGTTTTGTAACTGACACTTTTTTTTTAAAGGGAAAAAAAAAAATCTTATTTTTAGGAACAGTTGGTGTTTTTCTGTAACAAAACCAAAATGATGCAGTCGTAGAAATCACTGAACTACTACCAAGTATCGTCAGGAAAACGTGTACTTTATCACCTGTGAGAACTAACTTTCTAATGGATCCACTCTTGTTCTAGAGGTTAGTCTGTGAGTAACTACAAGTATTCGTAGAGTTCATAGTATCATCACAAAGAGCAATCGAAAGTGCGAATGAAACACGTGGAACGTCCTCCCACAGCTTTGACTTTCGCACACCAAAGAACAATCCACATTTTCCCTAAAAAATAGCCATTGAACACCTCTGTCAGGCACACCGGCCTGCGCTCCTGAAGGAGTAGACCTCTTTCAGCTCTGATAGTATGACTGTCGAGGCTACAGAAATGCTGTAGCCAGTCTTTTAAGGAGAAATTGGAATAATTTTATGCTTGTAATTTATTGAAGATTTTTTCTGTCTGCATGGTTGGCTGTTTCTGCATGCCCAGAACATTCCACATGTGCTCTGATCACCGTTTTGTTTTGTTCCGATGCCGTTACCACTGCTGCTTTTCCCAGGTAACTTGGGAGAGGCAAACACAAAAGCAGTCCTTTCTGAAAAGGTCTCATCAGCGAGAGAGATTCCAGACCAAGATTCACAAGTGTCACTTTCTTTTTCCGATAGTTGCGTGTTCAGTATATTTTACAGGACTGAAAAGTAAATATTCATAAGCCTTATTCTGTAGGTTGTTCCAATAGCTGTCTTGGACTTGCAAGTGAATCTTTTCCTTTTCAAGTAGCCAATGTACACTGAATTGTAATGTAAAAACTTCCATGTACTTCACTCTTTTTTTTTGTGCACACCTGTAGGAAGCCTATGCAACCTTTTTCTTTCTTAAATTAGAAATGTTCAGAAAGAAAATTTATACCTTTAGCATTTAAAAGATGCTCTGGCAGTCTCTTCTGATTTGCCTTCCTTTCATAATTTGTGAATTTAAAATAACAATGCTCATGAATAAAAGAGTTGTTTCATTTAGTGGTGGGATGCCCTTTCTCTTTCCC